ATTATGAATTTTGACCAAATATAATTGCTCATAACGGATAAAAAAAAAACAAATGTACCATCATACATGCTACTTCTTTCACAAACATATATATGTAGAGAGAGCCTGTGTTAGCGACGTTCTTGGACTTAAGAAAGAGAATGAAAAGGTTGCTTTGTGATTGTTTGGAACATTTATCTATTCTTTATACAATCACGAGTGAAGCTGAATTGAATTCAAGGATTACTGTTCGTTTCTCTCATCATCATAAACAACTGAAATTAGAAAGAAAATTGACATTTACTCAGTCCATTGTCAGATCTGTCTATCTATGAAATTAAACAAACAATAGGAAGTGTATTTGCCGATGTCTGTGACCTTGTGACGATTCTTGGTGTTAACATTTTGAACAATACTGAAAATCCAGTAACAATTGATAAAGTCAGTGTCATTGTCAAATAGTATTTAGGAAAAACAATAACGATAAAGTATTCCAGAGAACCAAAAGAACTTGCAGATTCAAGCTCGAAATCAGGTAGTGATTGAGTACGTACAATTCGGACAAGGATCAAGAAAGCCAAGAAGAGGCGGATTCTAAACGTTTATCAAACGTTAGTATCTATGCTTTTCATGGTATGCGCATTTATGACACTCAAATTCTTTCTTGTTCAGTCATTTTTCAAACTGACGATCAATAGACAAATAAAATTTTTACACAAGTAAACAGCTTGTTGATTGTTAACCTATGAGAAATCATCACTCTTATTGGATTATTTGAGAAGTGTTAGAATAAAGAAATTGATTTGTCTCATTACAACTCTCGTGATCACTACACTATAGACATAAACTGATGCAGAACGTCAAATAAAATTTCATTTGTTTAATCGATTTTTGAGCGTAATTTAGAGCTCAATATTATCTGATTAGGCAGCGACACTTTTATTAAGTCTATCTCACAAAACTATTGATGTAATCTATTGTGATTCACGAAATTCTAGATCTAGATGAGTAACAAATCATTTAACTAACGTCCCACTCATCTAGATTGTGCCAAAAAACAAGATAATAAGTAGCATGCATATGCAAACATTATTACACATATCATGTTTGGGGTAAGTGTGGGTGTGGATGATAAACCTTTCACACCTACACCCACCACACACTCTATTGAAGCGCATCGTTTTCAACTAATTTATTTTGTATCTGGATAACCAAGGCTGGTAAACTTCAGAAAGTAATCAAAAATCTTTTTCACACCTATCTCAATAGGGCTAAATTGAATTATTGCGAAAATGGTTCCAGACTGCAGAGAGCCAACAAACTTAAACTTCCAAAAAGTATCGCATCAAATTATTTTCAAATTACGAAGGAAATCCTATTTTACCGTTGAATTTTTATGAAATCTTATAGTGCTAGATTTCGGATAGTGTTCGAATAATACAGAAATTATCTATTAGATCTGTGCTAATCAGGGTCAACTTATAAGAAATAATCTAGAAATTGTCGCTGTAGGCAACTATATATTAATGAAGACGATTCAAATAACTAGGAAATCCCAGCCTAGTCAAGAAGATAATGGTTGAGATTTTATCCAAAAAAACAAGTCATCTTGAAAATTTATTTAACTCTTGGACAACCCGAGCATCGAATTGGACGATAAAAATTATATAATTTGATAGAGCGATGAATTGTGTATCCAGCTATATACAAATGAAAAATGAATATCGAAAGACTTTATAGGTTATAATATTTGAATTATTCAAGAGAAACGTCTCAAAATATCACACAAAGAAAATTTTTTTGAGTACTTTTTCAACTTTACCGATCTTAGTTACCCAGATGCAAAATAAATTAGTTGACAAGGATGCAGTTCAATAGGGTGACCAATGCTCTATCCAATCATATCAAAAGAAAGATTTTTTGAAGTTTGGTAGAAATACAGTAAGCCGAACAAAATGGTCAAAAATAAAGTAATCAAGCTGTATGTATAGTGATGCGAAATCTCGAAAACTCCAGCCAAAAAGATCAATTCAAACGATTTTTTCCTGACAGAAATTTTTTCTTCAAGTTGAAACAATTCCTCAGCAAGTATTCTCCAATTGTTGAGACCTATTTTGAAACGATTTTAGTCTTCGGGAAGAAATTTTTTGAAGATCTTTCGAGATTTCGCATCATTATACATATACATACATGTCTGTCTTATTGAGGGTGCCACAAAAACCTTTATTACACACACATCAGCACATGCGTATCTCTCTGCTGAGAGTGCTCAGAAATCGTGATTTCACACGAAAAACTCATTCCCTACTATATGAACTTGATCTAATTTGGATGCAGGTCCGTTTTTAATTCATTTCACGAAAGAAACGTAAATGAAAAGACCAAAGTTAGATGTTAGAAATGACAATAAAGTCTGAAAGCTTCAAATTAGTAACTGACATTCTTTGAATATTGGTTTTAGCCATTGAGCAAAATCGTGCATTATGCATATATTTCAATTCGTTTCTGAATTAATCCGTTACCTTTTCTATTTTCAGTCAATTCAGCATGCATTAGGTGTGGGTGTGTGCGTAGATGAAATGGATACATACACTCACACCCCACACACACCCACACCCTGCTATGGTCTTTAAAAAGTCCTGTAGATTTTGTTGCTTACAATAAGCAAATTTGATCGTACTGATATATTCAAAGATGAATCTTAGTACAATGGGCCAGATCAGCTACAAAAACTGTGATTTCTGGCGACTTTGTTTCGCTTTTGTGATGACTAAAAGTAACATCCGTAGATCTTCATTTTCAGCTATCTGGGAAAATTATCAGAGTATGTCAATAACGGTTTATTCATGGAGCTTTTGTAGAGCTATCGATGGTGTATCTTTTACAAAAATATCAAAGTTTTATCGATCCTCAGTCTTCAAATATTTACAGAACAAAGTCTTCCGCATTCTTTTTATCATTTACAATATTCTGAGAAGTAATACTATTATGTAGGTTTTTCATTTTGACTATGGGAAAAACTATTAGAATAAGCCAATAGGAATTTAGTATTACAGTTTTTCACAGTGCATCTTGTAAAAAATGATCAAGATTTTATTATTTACTTAAGCTGAAATATATGCGAAATAAACAACATTGCAAACATTTTGGCACATCCAGTGATATAAAACAAAAAATATATATTCTATATCTTGAGATTTATTGTTTAGGGAAAATCAATCTCTAATCAATCGAACGGTTTGATTTAATGAAAAAATTTCAATAATGTTTGATTAAACAATGTGTTCGTGTAGTGTTTAAACTTCATGTTATTTAAAAATAAAAAGTTTATTTGAGATCTTAGTTATAGCAAACAATCGATTTAATGAGTTCATGAAGAATACAAAAAAAAATTCATCAGAAAGAAAAACGGACACACACAAACTATGAGAGTATTTACATTGCAAATATATATGAACTTTGCTTTGTATGAAAAATTCACAGAAAGAAAAACTAAGGCCATTTCAAAAGAATATTATTACAAATACATTTGATATTGAAATTAAAAAGTAGTTTCTCTGATATAATCATTTTTTGTAATTGATCAATCACATATTCGTTGGGATTTGAAGTGAAAAGACATAAACAATTGAGAAAACGAGTGTTTCTAGCAGATTTATTTAAAAGAAATCGTACGAGCACGTTGAGATTCATGTCCTTTGGAATATCCAATTGAAAATATTGCACATGATGACACAGATAAATAATAAAATACACTTGTTCAATATCATTAATGTTTTTAAGACTAACTTCTGTTATTTTATTATTAATTAATGTTGAAGAAAGAATCTTTCCATGATTGATAAGCAACCAATCCGATTGAATAATTGGTAAAGACGAAACTTTTAGTGAATTAAGATAAGGTAATAATCGGATGATTTTATGCAGCATTTTAATATAGATGTTCTCGCAATTGATATTTAAATGAGTGAAATGAATAGCAATAAAAGTAGATTTGAATTTATCAAGAAATAACTGATTTTGTCGTTTAGTAGAATTACCATTACTACGAAATACAATATGTGGAACGAATTGAATGGAAAAACTGTTCATAGTTTGTGGATTGGACATGATAATATGTCGAGCACAATTGTCCCTAATATTGCTCTTATCAGAATATGAGACTATTTCTGGATGTGCAGAAATAATAAACCATGCAGAACTGAAAATAGAGATGATATTATCAGTAGAAAAGACTTGAATGAACGTACTCCTGTGGATAATCTTCGCAATAGATACATTTAGTATGCATATTCAATGCTAATTCGCCATACCATTAACGTGCAACTCAAAACGGCGAAGTAAACTGATTGATTTTCGTATAATCAAAATCATTTTCATCATAACGTGAAAAGCATTGATGGTTTTCGTAGTGAAATTTACGTAAATAAGGTAGATTTGTTCTGATTAATTGTTCCCAACCATTATCGTTGAGATGAGCTGTATTTCTATGATATC